TTCTTGATATCAGATAATTTCTGGCCAAAAAACGCTGGAAGTTCGGCATAATTAAGTAAAATCTTAAGTGAGCTTACTCGTGAATTGTTCAATAAATTGATATTGGCAAACATTCAGCTTGCCATGCTCTCGGTTTTAATAAACCTCGACGCCACGAGCAAATCGCGCATCGGTGGTATAATAATCTTGTTACTATGAAAAAACATACTTTTTCTATCTGTTAGGAAGTTACATAGGCTGGGTGCCTAGCGCAGACCCAAGTTCCTAGATTTGAAATGTTTGGACCGACTTGATCTCATTCGCCACTCCACTTTACTCTCTCAATGAAACGTTTACTATAGGTTGTGGTACACCGGAATCACACACCGCTCGTGAACAAATACTTCCGAATCAGATACACAAGACACGATGCCCATCCATGTGAGCACCTCAACCATTTTTTGCGCCACACTGCTGCTGCATGCTGAGAACCATGAATGCCCCAGAAGAGCTTGCACATCATACCGTCTGCCATCATTTTCCCCTCAGTTGAGTTCATGAACACGTTCACCCCCAACATGCCGTTCAAGAAAGCAGATCAACATCCATCTGACAGATCACGTAGTTTCACTGCCAACACATAGCCTAAAATTACTTAACCGAGTTTTTACTCGCAACCAGCAAATAGTTCTCCCGGTGGTCAGCACCTTTTACTTGTCAAAAGCCTTGGGCCACCATGCATGCCTTGTATCGCACAATACTGTCAACCGCGTCGCGTTTTACGTCGAGCACCAATTCGCATCTAATAACTTTGGATCCGAACAGCATCCCATAGGTGTCTCATATAGTAAAATCTAAGTTCGTGACGCACCGCCTCCTTCCACTCTAACGCTTGTGGTGATACAATGGCTTTTTAATACGAACGGAGAATTTCTTTCGCGACGAGAGCAATGTTGTAATCGTAAGTCAATCGCAGGCGTTCGGAGTTTGGCTCAACAGTCTCATCTTGGTGTATCACGTCACTCGCAAAAGGTTGCCATTCAACAATGCGACCTTCAGCAGAAGGTGGCAATCGAGCAGGTTTGGAAGCCATCGCCGTAAGTAAACAGGTACGGATCTCTCCCCTTTAGTCGATTTCCAGGAAGATCTCGAGCGCTATTTTTCTTACCATGTGGGATCAATTGATGAACGTGGGACGTGGCCATCATATCTTAAGCCGCATCATGAACAAGTTCGCGTGTCTCCTGAGATTGCACAGCTGGCGAGGAGCCTTCCATTTGCTCTGCCGGTGAAGTCTCATCCATCACTCCTCGCTCATTTGCAGTACGTAATGACGCATGAACTGTGAAGATCACAAACGGCTTTAAGCCTAGCAGGTGGACCCTGAATTAAACAAGTACATACTTCGTCGCAAGTAATTCCTTGTCGTAGATTGGGTAGTTCCTCTCTGCATCCTTCAGCTGGCGCGATTCGAGCGCGATCACCCGATCTCGCCCCTCGGAATCCGCTTGCAGCAGTGCACAGCCGATGGCAAAGTCCAAAGCGTCACAGACAACACCAAAGGACGATCGGGATCTGGTAAAGTCAGTATTGGTGCATGAAGGAGGCTGTACTAGACCCTATCGAAAGCTTTTCGATGCTCGGTGTCCCAGCACTAATCTGTATCCTTCTTAAGGAGTCTCGACAATGGCCGTGCCATTTCCGCATAAATTGCACTAAACTTGCGAACCTTCCAATTATGCACCTTAAAAATAGGATTACTCAGCGCCGAAGATGCACTTATCGGCATTAGCATACAGCCAGTTCGTGCGCAAGCACTCGAGCACCGCTCTCAAATGAACTATGCGGCTTTCCCCATCTGTCCTCGTGCCCCGCACGATGTGAACGAAGATATCGTCGAAGTTTGTTTGTGCACACACCCGGTGGGGCCGGAACAATTGCGTCACAAGACGATTAAATGTTGCATTTGATAGCCCTTGCGGCATCGTTAGCCACTCCCTGAGCATCCCGCTCAAAATACTCACCGTTGTTAGCGGGATATCACTTGCTCTCATAAGCAATTGGTAATACCCATCGACCAGGTCGAGTGCAATGTACTTCGTACATCCCACCATGTTGTTCTGAAGATCATCCTTTCTAGGAATCGGCATCTGTGCCGGAATGGTGGCAGCGTTGAGCTTATTGCAAGCATGAACGATACGCCACTAGCCGTTTGGCTTCCGAGCACAAAACGTGGGTGTCGAATGGGATGACTTGCTCTCACGTACCATCCCTGCGTCGTGCTTCGCACGAAAAAAGGCGTCAATGACGTCGCACTGCTCCTGGGGCAGGGGCCATTGGCGTGTTACGCAGTATTTGGTTCTCGAAACCAGGTCGATCTCATGACGCACACCTCAGTCCGGAGGTAGGACTGAAGGCGGGTCTTTGGTGACGACATCTTGGAATTTCTTTACCAAAGGAAAGTACGAATTAAAGGGTTTCCGTAGGATCGACAATCCACTTCGTGCGTTAAACACACTCTTGGTGTCTTCCAAGACAGCTTCATCCAGAAGCGATGACGAGTTTATCTTCTCGTCCGGTCGTACAATGGCCACTTCGGCCGAATCCCCTGCCTTCAAGGCACTGCCGAACTCTTCAAAGGACATCTCGACCAGCTCAAGAAGAGCATCTACTGCAGGCATAGCCTCGAGGCGGACGTCGCCATCTTCCTCCCCCGTCATACCGTTGACGAGGGTATACAACTGTGCACCGTCGTCTACGGTAGACGCACCCTGGATCAGGGTCGACGTCCGGCGTCTTGCAGCCAACATACGGTGTCGCCGTCAACTCTGTACAGAGGTTCTATGTCTCGTTGAGACCAGGGTGAACACGCAGTCCGCGTCGTCCGATGTCACCCTCACTTTCCGCTCCTTTGGAGCTTCGATGTTATCTACTACATCCGACGAAGAACTGCTGACCCCTCAGTCTTCGCTCAGTGGGTCACGTGCTACCCCACGCGTATCTGAAGGGCCGTGTCCAAGATGCCTCGGACTCTGTCCGACTATGTCACGCGTGACATGCAGCGACTGCTTTGATACTCGAGCAGCGCTCAGTGGTTTACGTGCCAGTTTACGTGCATCACGGGGGCATCGCCCTCGATGCCTCGGCCCTCGATCGGCCATGTCAGGCATGAGATGCAGCGACTGCTTTGATACTTGAGCTGCGCTCAGTGGTTTACGTGCCACTCCAGGTGCATCACGGGGGCCTTCGCCCTCGATGCCTCGGCCCTTGGCCGACCATGTCACGCATGACATGCAGCGACTGCTCCGAAACTTGAGAAGCGCTCAGTGGGTAACGTGCCACTCCACGATCAGCACACGAGCCACGCTCGGGAGTCCTGTTCGACACACCGTTGGTGTCTACCAACTCGGTCATTCCAATGTCCAGCACGTTCTCGTCTCGGTCCAGTGCTCTCGCCAATAGCACTTTTGTTTTCTAGCAGAGGTGGGTTCATGACTCCCCAAAGCTCCACCAGGAGACGTGCGCGTAGCGCCCAAGGTCTTTGACTTACAATCAATCCATGGCTCATTGTGTTCCAACCGTGCCATTCCTAAAATGAGGTCATACTTGCATCCAAGTCTAAGACTAGACAGCGTTCCACGCTATCAAAGTTAAGGAACTTGACTCCGAGGTCCACAGGGACCTTCGAGACCGTGGCACGCGTCCCCGTCGCTAGGCGAACAGTGACGATGTCACCCAACCACGCTTTCAGCGCCTTAGCATACAGCTGACTTCCCTCCATCTTGGAGCGTCAAGCATAATCGCCCGACGCCCCAGAATCGACTAGAGTCTTCCATGGCTTCTCGAGGCCCTTTACGGTCGCCTCCACGACCAGCAAGCCCGAGTTGCACACACGTTCCGTGTTCAAGAACACGGAGCTCTTCGGGGCTGGGCCCTATTGACCATGCCTTCCTGAGGCTCAACAGAACTCAGTTCTCCCCCAGTAGGTCGCCGCGCGCCTACTGAGTGGTGTCGTTTTTCCGCGACAAACCAGACTAGTAGGCGATGGTTCGAAGAACGTTGACGCTCCTTGCGCATTCACCGCCTCTTCAAAAGAAGGCC